TGTTCATAGGCTCTTTTTTTATCCCACACAGAGAGCATTTTCAACACATTTCGAGCAAAAATCTTTATGGTTAGCAAATTTACAGCTGAGGACTCCGTTATGGCTTGGGAGGGGTAGAAGGTAGGAGGGAAACAGTAATAATTTGGGGGTGGAAGAGAAGAAACACTGCACAACTGCTGAATGATAATGGCTTGAACCTTGGGAAATAAAGGTTATGGCAGAAAAGGGAGGAATTACAAGGACAGTGTGACCTCTGCATGTCTTGCAGGTGCACAAGTGTTATTCCACATATGCGTGTGTACATAGAGGTATTAAAGATGCTTTGTGTTTAAGAGAGAGAGGGGGCACATAACTGAGCCATGGTTTTGCTTACATTTGACTCATTCAAAACCAGGATAAAGCTAAATTATGTGTAATTCAGAAAATTACCGGCTCCCAAAGCACCCAGTCTGGGTGCCTGGTGTGCCTGGGGGGGCTAAATGCTCATCCTGGCAGAAATGGTGCTTGGGACTTGGGTAACACCAATGATTTTTCTTCCTAGGGTATGAAATAAGGTAAATGACAAGTACACACCAGCTTTCATTAAAGGGCTTCAAGGAACATTACAGCTATTTTTTTAACTCCCACAAAAGCCTAGAAGGTAAGAATTAATTATCTAGGTTTATAACTGTGTAAACTGAGATATAAAGAGATCAACAGTAACAGACCTTTAGAAGAAACCTCAGATAACAAGTTTAAAGTGCTTCAGTATTTTGCTGAATCTAGAATCAAATAACTGGGTCAAAGTCTCACAAGTGAGTCAGACTGCAACTCCCAACTCCCTGTTTCTTCACTCTCTAAACATCGGAACTATATGTGGAAGCCTGAGAAGTAATTTTATATGTGGGATGTTAAATCAGTACTTCTCCTGTCTCATCAATCTCCTGTATTTTGGTACAGTGCGAATCATTTGGTTAAGTGGCACAAATTAGAAAACCCAGAAGAGATGTTAAAAATATTTCTTTTTTTTTTCTTTAGCACTTAATTTAAAATCCTCTATTAGAACTAAACAACAGCAAAAGCCACATCACTGGAAAATATTTAGAGCTTATTCTAAATGTAGTGGAAACTTCTAAATAGACTATGCTGGGAATTTGAGGGGAGTAAAAGCTGTCACATAAGGCATATACTTTCTCTTTGCTCATAAAGACTCAAGATATTTTCATACTTCAAATTCATAAGACTGAGTTAGAGAGGAGTTTGAGACATAGTGAAGTTGTGCTTTTTTTAAGTACTAGAGAACATTTTTTCTACCTACGTAAAATGACCTGTAAATTGTATAAAATATGTCTGGGGAGAGGAAAGGGAGGGGGAGAGGTTACTATCAATTTTTTAACCAAGTATAACATATTGCATCCCATTTGAAATAAAAGATACTCGTTTAGACTTAAAATAGCACATCTGCTTGAAAAATACATACAAGGCTCCCATTGACTGAAGAGGGAAATTTGCCAATAATATTTCATGGGAGTTATCTTCGCATCAGCTTCGGAAAATAAAGACATTTTTACAGGGAGTGCTAATTCAACAATGGAAAGCTAAAAATTAGTCACTCATATGCAAAGAAATTTTACTAGGTTTACAGTTTTTAGATCTATTTTTCAATTTTATCAGATATATGGTTTAGGGATAAAACTAAGGCAATAAGGTCTAGTTTGCAGTGAAGTTAGATGGTTTAACATCACAGGCTATGGTCACGAAAAGAAAAATGATGTCATGAACAACAGTCTGACTGGACTGCACATCAAAAATACTCATGAACAGTGTAAGGATGCAAAAGGTCTTGCACAAAACACAAATCTCTCTTAAAAATGCATGTGTGAATGCAGGAATAGCAGTGAAAAGTAAGTAAATGTATACTTTAAGAGTTCTATGATTTCCCCTGTGTGAAAGGTCTTAGAGGTAAACTGGAAAAGGAACAGAAAATATATTTCTGTTCTTTACTGCCCCTTATTCTCTCCTTAGTTTTAGGGCTCATCCATATGGGGAAATTAGGTAGTAAACTATACTGCGGTGCTATTCATTCCCTGTGTGGACACTCCTTCTCTAGAGTAAAAGTGGATTTTTCTGGTTAATTTATTTTATTTTGAAAGCAGCTTAGGCTATATTGAAGGGGGGGGGGGGGGGGGGGAATAAAACCTTACACCCGAATAAGCACATCCATCCAGGGAATTCACAGCACAGCTACTGTGATATGAGTTCAGATCTTGCTTTTTATTTGTACAACCTGCCCTGTAGACAATCCCATTGTGGTGGAAGTGTAGTAATTCAATAGGGATCTTACCAAAGCCTGCAGTGGGGCCAGGACCCCATCCAGGACCTTTCCTCTCACCTGAAATGCAGGTAGGATGCAGTTTATGTCCCATGGTCCCTCACTGCCACATCCTGCCCTTGGAGCAATACAGAAGTCCTTCAGAGCCTCTTTGAAAACTGAAACATTAAGTGTTACCCACACGGATACAAAACAACAGATTTTTTCTTTTTCTCACACTTCATTTTCAAGAGAAATTCTGGCTACAATTTTGTTTATATTAGAAGAAAATTCTAATTCCAGCATCATCACACTGATCAGGAAATAATTAGAGAGCTATTTTATTCCTGCTCGTTCCACGATGTTGAAGGATGGAAAAGCTCTCCTGAAATCAAAATACACTGAAATAGGATAAAACGTGTCAGGGTTATGTATGTATTGCAAGGGACGTTTCCCAAAGCTGCTGGGAGATGGAATAGGCAAAAAATTAAGAAGAATGGAAAATAACAGTTGCCTTGTAAAATACCACAGTGTACCCTTGGTGGGATTTTATGGAATAGCAACTAGGTTTGCAATCTGCTTAACGCCATATATCATAAACACAAATTTCACCCTGCAGTGCTTGCTTTGAAATCTCCTAGCACCCCATCAGGCATGGGGACATGGAGCAACACCACCAAGTGACCCCCACAAACCCTGCTGCTGTCTGACCCACGAGAGACCTTATGGTGAGAACCTCTTAACCAGCGACCACCAAATATTCCAGTCGCACTCATAAAATGAATTGCCTTGAAATGCTAAAAGTATGCCAGAAATAACATAATTCCTTCAAAGTCAAGTTAGTAAGTTAAACCATGGAGACTACTGTCCACTATTATAAATGTACAGTCTTAAATTACCCCAACTGAACCACCTCCGTGAATATCAAGTAATCGTGCCTCCCGACAGCGTGGAGAATTGGAGTTTTCATATCTAAGCTTATTATTCCTAATATCACAGAGACACTTTCCTGAATTGTCCTTCTCCTTCCCAAATTCCCCATCTGACCAGCCGTCTTTCTCTCTCTTGCTTTCACCTGTCAATCATGTTCACAGCTGAAATTTGATTTCTCTCCCAACAGTAACCTTAGATGAAATATTACCATAGGGGTCAGAACTGTCTGAACTTGCCATAAAAGTTCGTTAACTCTTCTGAGACCTGAGAGCTATTTGCTTAAAAGCAACAGATTTTGCTTTTTTCTATAATATGTGAACGTGTAACCACAAAATATTGTAGGGAAGGCACAAGGAATTGTCCCGTGGAGCACCAGGCTAAGCAAGTCTTGAGATCACAGGTGTCCATCATGGAAAAAGCTTTTGCTTTTATATGTATATATATATATATATGTATAACATATATGCATAACAATTATTATATGGATAAGAAGAATGTATATCTCTTACTTATACAAATCTAACAGTTACATGTATAAATTACAGGAACCACAAAAGTTTTCCTACGGGATTATTGACATTAGAACTGTTACACTAGGAAAAATGTGATGGAACACGTGCTTCACCTTTGCAATGAAGATATGTACTTGATGCATTTTCTTCAGGTGAATCACGACTTGGCTCTGTTCTTGCAAAAAGCATATTGCATTTTAAGGTCTCACAAAAAAAAAAAGTGGTCTGGTTTCCCTCTCATTCACAGTGGTGTAACACAGGGATAAAACTGCTTTGCAGGCAAAATCCTATCCGGGTGTTCCTCAGGAGAGTGAGAGGAGCATCAGGATTAAAATTAACCTTTTTTGGTGTTTCTTGAGAAACCTATTCCTGCAGCCTATACACCAAGAACACCTCTTGGTGCTATATAACATAGAGTGTACAGTACCAACTACATCTTCCCCATCCTCACTTATATAACATGAAATAACAAATAATAAAGAATAAAACAAGCCTAATTCCGACAGCTAATAAAATTCGACTGCTTTCTAATAGCATGTAACTGTTGATCAAAGTGTGGTAGGCTGTAGGGCAGCCTGTGTCCTTAACAAAAATAGGAGGTTTAAAAAAAAAAAAAAAACTCACACAGGAATCTGTCATTACAACCTTGGTACTCATTTAAGCCACTTAGTATTTTTTATAGTCAAGGTCAATAAAAATCAGATTCCATGGGAAAAATAAAGTGCCTGTTTTGAGTCTAGGAGCAGAAGGGACTGAAAGTTTAAATTCCCACATTTTCATTAGTGGAGTATATTTTAGTCAATGTTGACAGACCGAATGAACATGAATTTCCAGAGGAACACAGTGCTGTGAATTAAACTTGACTGCAATTTATAAGTACAGAAGGTGCCTAACACAGACTCATGATTTTCATCAAGATCTGAGGGAGATCTTCAGAAGTCCCATCCTTAATCCCCGTAGCTGATGTCTGAACGCTAGCATTTGAAGGAAAAGAAAGAAAACATTTGCAAAGGATTATATATGAGTTGTGGGACACGGGAGAGCTGCCTGGCTGACAAAAGTACAAAGCCCCATCATTACAAATGGTTCTTGTAGACACCTGAAAGTCAGCCTCATCTGAAAGCCCAGAAAACTGCACCACCGACTGTCACCAGCTCCCCGGGGCTGGACCAAAAAGCACTGCCTTAGCAGCAGAAAACAAAGCAGTTAAAAATTACCACCCCTGCTGAAATATGTCAAACTGCTAATGAAAATGGAAACATACCTTTATTTTTTGTTTTGACCTCAGGTAACAGGATTTTCACATCACCGTTGTAGACGATTCTCTCGGGTACCTAATTTAGTAAATAGATTAAAAATAAAACATTAGAAGGATTTTTTAACATTGCAAAACATGCCTGTCATGCCACTATGGTACAGAATAGGACTTCTTATGTGCAAATCCTAAATCAAATTTAGAAAGTCCCGTGTACTGTTCGCTGGCTGTGAGTGAGTGAAGGGAAAATTAACACAGTTTGAAGGGAAACATTTCTAGCTCACACATTTAGTCTTTACTTCACATTAATAACAGGAGATTCCTGCTGACAAATTACCTTAAAAACACATATTTTTGCCTCACCAGTGAATATCAGCTTCTAGGACTTCAAAGCGTGTAGCTTCCTGCATTTCTCTCTTAATGATTTTTATTAGCTGCACTAATGTAATTGGCAAAATAATAATCAATTTTTGTACACAGTCTATTATTTTCCAGACAGTAGTTTAATAACAAAAGCAGAACTGTCATTTCTCCCTGCAGTTACTCACACTGTACAAATTCATCCTGTCAACACATATTTAAAATCTAATTTAGACCAAAAGAATCAACATAGAGTGGATCCTTGTACAATAAGTGAGATAAGTCAATGAGTCAATCCACATTCCCTAAATATGGGTATTTTTTTGTGTCCCCTTTAGTTAACTTTCTCTCCCTGAGTGTGCATACACAAGCACATACACATATTTTCCAGAAGCCGCCTGCAGGAATGCTTTAGCTCCATCCATTGTAACTATACAGGGTAATCAGAGCAAGGATAAACCCCAAGTCTGATCAGTTTGAATCTGAGAAACAAAAAGAAGACAAACTATAGGCACTTTTTCAGCATTCTGGTTCCAGATCAGCTTTGAAAACAGAAGTCCACTGCACATTTGGTACCAGTTGAATGACCCCTTTCTCTCATCCCTCCCAAAGGTGGGACAGGCGCATTGAAATGGTCCCTGCATCATGCCACTGAAAGCAACAGTTCCTTTTCTTTTCTGTTTTGTTTTCCATTTCTTTTTTTTTTTTTTTTTTTTTTTAATAAAAAAGGGGGATGGTGCTTCCTTAAATGCAATACTTGGCCCACGGCCCAGGCTCTCTTAAAGCAAATGACTCCCGTAGACCTTTAGTGTCATTTTCCTCAAGACGGCCTCTGCTTTCATGCCAATCAGTGAATCCATCCTGTTATTAATGCATGGGGCTGAGAGGAATAGGTACTCAAGCCTCACACCTGAAGAGCATCTAGAAAGAGATGGGGTCAGCCTGCTTTTAGCAGTCTCAGCCTTTGCTGTGGCCACCCCTGCTCTAAAACCACAACCATTCAGATACATCATAGGAGACCTTAAGCAGGACCTTAATCCACTTTCATGAGAGAGGCACATTGATTCATTTAGCACCTTTATTTAACTATCAGTTCATTAACAACGGAGTCAAAGAAAGTAAGACAGCACAAAGGCAGCCAGATTTATTAATTAAACACTAAACAGATTTATTAATTTAAGAAGGCTGATCACTTTCCTTCATTTTATCTGACAGAGTTGGTGCAAGAAGAGTTTTACTTGAGTAAGTTTTCTACTCTATACTGTGCTATTTTAAAAGGATTTCACAATAAAGGAAGCTGAAAGACTGTGCACAGTCTGGAGACTGTATCTGGTGTGACATGAATATAGTATTTTAACCAGATTTAATCTTACCGTATTCCCTCCTCTACAATGACTTTGCAGGAGGAAATCCTACGGAAAGGAAAATCTGTTCATCCCACACCACAAAATACTGAATCGCATTGCAGGCTCCAGCAGCTCTTCCTACATACTGAAATGCTTTCATCAGGGAATTTGGAGGCAGTTAAGTTGGGCAGAGGGGAGAGGAGAAAAAAATACCAGGTCTTGTTTGGTTCACTTTTGTACTCTAAGCTCCAAGTGCTTGAGGGAGCAAAAGGGCTGTTTGCAGTGGAGAGAGCCACGGCTTTAGAAGCTGCTACCACAGATATAACTGATTCTGGCCCCATCCCCTTTAGCATCATGACAGCTCACTGTCAAGGCCTTGGAAAGCACTTTTGTTTCAAAATTGGGGAAGTGAAGAAGTTCAGGCTGCAGGGAAGTGAATCTGCCTGGCTTCTTATAGAAAATGGCTTTAAGCTTAATCACACACACATTCTGAGATACATCCACACAGACTCAGGAAACAGCCTCAGAAAGTGCCGCTCTCCATACTTCAGATTCCTTAAAAGACATGAATTGTAAATCCTGCCCACCCCTCATCTTGCTCCCTGCAGAGATCCAGGGCCTGATGCAAAATGTCATTTAAAAAGCTCGCTTTGAATGAGGTGGGGTTTAGACCGGTCTCCATGTGAGCACAGGTGAAATGAAAAAGTGAAGGAAAAAGGAGAAAAAAAAAACAAACAAACTAACAAAAACGAGAAAAGAAAAAGGGGAGAAAAAAGTCGAAAAGAGGAAGAGAGGAGAGTGTGAACAAAACCAAAGGGAAGCGCTCTAGGAACATACCTAGAGGACGGTCAGCCAGCTGAAGCCGCCTGGGTGACACATCGGAGCTAAGCTTTGGATGCAGGGACGGATCCTTTACTTACGCATAGAATCCCCTTTTGTTCCACGCATTGAATTTAAAAACGAACAAACAAGCAAACAAACAAACAAACAATCAAACAAAGGATGCTGCCCTCATCCTTCCCCTTCCCAGACCTGGCCCAGGACCGGGTCCGTGTCAGGGTCCTGGTCCGGGTCCCGGTCCTTCCCTCCCGTACCTGGCCGCGGTGGGACGCCGGGGGCAGTCTCACCGTGTGTGTGTGTGTGTGCGTGTGTGCGTGTGCGTGTGTGTGTGTGTGTGTGTGTGTGTGTGTGTGTGTGTGTGAGCCCCTTCGCCTGCAGGGCTGTGCTGGGGTCGGGGAAGGTCCGTGCCCGCCCGTCCCCGCCCCGCTGCGGGCGCCGGTGCTGTCCCTGCTGCCCGCGGAGCGCTGCTCGTCGGGGGAAGATCGGGGGGGTTACACCGCTCTCGACCCCTGCCCGAGCCGCGCTATCGCCAGGCTGCCGGAAGCAGGGGTTTAAAATCCGTGCCAGAACTCTCCCAAAATGTGCGTTTCGCTCCCGGCACAGGCAAAAGGAGGGGAGGCCAATGTGTGTCCCCGCGCACCCCGATCCCCGCAGCCGTCGGGGACGCACGATTTCCACACCGAAAACCAAGGGACGAAGGGCAGGGAGACGCCTGAACTCCCGCTGACACAGGGTGTTGAGCCTTAACGCCTCCGTGCGCAGCCATTGACATTTCTGCTTAACGGGGGACAAGCTGCTGAGAGCGTTTTTCAGGACTGTGCTTCTTTATAAATTAACAATTGAGAGCAGCTACCAGGGACACTCCATTCCCTACCCCCGCTGGAAACTTGGAGACACTGCTTGATTTTGTTGGTCGCTGGGTGGTTTTTTCAATGTGTGGTGCAAAAGCACCACTTCTAGCAAACTTCTGCTCTGGTTTTGACTTCCCTCCGTGCAAGGTATCTTATAGAGATGAATTAAAAAAAAAAGTATAAAAATAAAGTAAAATAAAGGAAAGCATGTCACAAAGTTCATAGGGCTTCAAACCAAGCAAGGGAAGAGGCAGGGCAATCTCCATCCCTGAAACCCACTGCACCACAACTAGAAGCCTGCATGCTTTGCTGCTGCTGAAGTGGCACGGGTGTAAAAGCTAGACTTCGGTGGGAAGAACAGTGGGTACAGCAACAGTGAAAAAAATTATCATTTCAGAGAGCAGTTAGACACAGGCAGCTTGCATCAAGGGCACTGAGATGTTATCACACTGTGCCTGGTCAACCTGATACGGTGGTAGATAGCCGGGGCTGGAGCTGCCTATCTGCCATTATACCCGGCTACAGCCTCGTCGATCCCTGGCCTTTTGCTTCTCACTTGAAAAGTTAAGTCACATCCTGGACTATTTTTGCATCGTGTTGGCTTTGAGCTCACAAATCTGAATGCACTCAGCCCTCAGAGAGTGACAAATGTTATTCACGGTCCTCCCCCACAATTTCAGGCAGTCAAGAATTAGATGCAGCAAGAATGTACAGTATTTTAATCTATTGATTTGTATCTGCTGCACCCAAAAAAATTCATTAGAGGAGCCATAAGAAGTGTGAAGTGGTTGAGTGCTCCGCTCTCCCCCAGAAAAGATGAATTCTCTCCACAGCCACTCACCTCTGCCACGTCCTGGGGTGTGCTACCTCGTGTTACTCATACCGAGACCTGCACTTCAAACAGATATGTGAAGCATTTGACTACAGACAGCTTGAGTGTGTGTGTGTGTACAAGCAGGAGCGGGCTCTGTCCTGGCTGAGCAAACAAAATCTATCCCATTCTCCATAGCTGCCCCTGGAATGCCCAAGCCCTGTGGCAGCCGCTTACAACACAGTGATTTGGAAAGAGGAAGGGAATAAAGTTTATTGAAAAATCTTAATTCCTAACACTGAAGTATGTAGGATTGTTTTCTTTCTTTCCCCTGCGTGAAATTTTAAATTCAGCCATCTGAACAGGTGTCAGAAACAGTGGGTCCATTTAGCTCCTCTGATGATCGCAGTAATAAATATAGAGGATTTCCTTTCAATGCAGCATATGCTGAAATGACACCAATGTAGTTCTGGCATCTGAGCAGATAATTCTGATATATGCATCATTTCCTCCCTAAATCCAGGAAGCAGCTACACTCTCTATCTGATATTAGTATATTATGTCAAATAGAAATTGGTATTAAAATTATGAATGATTCTAGATAGAGAACTTCCTACACACTATGCAGAGGGAGGGAGAGGAAACAGCTGCGCAAAAGCTTTCAGAAGGGGGAAAGGGGAAAGAAAAAAGAGCTGGGAAAGTTTATGTTTTAAACTGAAAATTTACTGCCATGTTTCGCGTGGGGGTAGTTTTCAAGTGGCATTTTGATGCAGCACGGGCCGTTTTGTGTTAAAAGGATGAAGAAGACTTTCTAATAAATAGAAGGTCTCGGCGCTCCGTTTGCAAATGGGCACTTCCCGCACAGTGCCTG